TTTGAAATACGTGGTTGAAAGAAGACGAGGTTCACGTACTGCAATGCAGTTTTTTTCATGGACCGTTTTAGGCATAGCGATAGTGAGTCAATTTACTCTAACAGAAAAAATCGCGATAATAAGTCGCGTCGATCACGTGGTCAATTAAATCAGCGACGTACCCTATTTGCGCGTTACTGAAATTTTTTTTGGTCATGTCGAAGTGGAAGTTAAAGACTTTACTTTACCCACGCGTCCATGCCGGTCATCAGACGGTGGACGATGCTGGAAGTGCGAAGTGGGAACTATCATCCTGTCATCAGACGGTTGACTCCCACGACGCAATCCTGTCTGCTGGTCTACCATCAGGCGGTGAACTTTCTTAGGCCACCAAATTCCGTGCGGTCATCAGACGACGAGTTGGTGGAGACTGGTGATGGCTGAAGTAACCTGGCCAGAACCGGCTTAACTTTGCTGTATTTTTTTTTCTCAGTTACGAAGAAAATGTAAGTGAAGAAGCAAAGAAGGTTAATCATAATAAAAATCAGAGTTATCCTGAAATTTAAATCATAACTTTATTAATATTTGTAAAATTATTTTTACGTTAAATTACAATGTAAAAGGTCGGCCTGTAAAATTATTCGTGGAGTAGCAGACGTTTAAAGGGAGGAGTCTAACCCATAAAATGAGAGTTCCTTTCCCTACTCCGTATTACTAGATAAGTTATTATCATTATTTTCATCACTATCATCTAAAATTATATTACTACTACCGCTAATAACAACGGAATTATCTTTTTTCCGATTTTCTTTTTCGATCCAAGCCTCGATTTTTGTTTGACGAAGTTTTTAATGGAGTTTTTTGATGACGGTAAAAACTATCTTCGGGATATTCTGATTTGTGGCTTCTTGCAGATTCTTGTCCTTTAATTACCGAAGCTGGTACGTTAGTGCTAAAACACAATAATATAACCACGTTGCTATAGCGAATCAATAATTAAAATACCTTGAGACCGAAACTCGCTTTTCCATTCCGTTTCAGTTCGCATTCTATTAATTTCATTGTTAAGCACCAAAATTGCTTTTTTACAGATGATCACTCCGGATCTGCGTTAACGCACAGTATTTATTAACGTATAGTAAATATCTACCTTAATCACTTGATGCTCGATGTTAACCTAATTTGTCCATGATGCATTGCCA